CGGCGCTTCGGGCGGGGCGCGCGGGTGGAGGGGGCGCCCAGAGGGGCGGCGGCGGCCGGGACGGCGAGCGGGCTGGGCTGAGGGCCGGGCCTCCCTCGGCGGAGGGGGGGGTCCGAGGCCCGGAGCGGGTTGGGCCGTCGTGAAGCGGGGTGCTCCGGGGGTTTTCATTCAGGTGATTGGTGACTGCGTCTCTTTTTTCCCGTTGTCCCATTTTCTAAGACCTGACTTTCTAGGTCCCGGGCTTTTTCTTACCTGCAGAGCAGTAGTCAGCTCTCGAAAAGCAGTTGGAAATCGAAATCGAAGTTTTGAAGCGCAGGTTTTATAAAATCCTTCTCCTTTCATGACCGGGCTCTATGATATTTCGTCAAAATGACTGGAATCCCCTTGTGTCTGCTATAAACAAAGGCGAGGGGGCAGTTCGTCGCCCACCCCTGCATCTGACTCTTGACTGGATTTGTACAATTCCTGGGATTATTTCCCTTACAGGAGGACTCCTAGTTGAGGAAAGGGGGCATTCCTGTCTCATTCAGAGACGCCTAATGTTGACGTTAAGTAGGTGAAAGTCTGAATAATTTCCCCCTGTTCATGGAATCATGTCATTTTTCAAGTTGAAAGGACTTCAGAAATCACCCAGCATATTATAGGTTAGAGAACTGTTGGGTGACAGAAGCAAACTCATGACTAGAGTTGGGTCTCCCTTTTCTCCCCCGCTGTCTGCCCCAGAACCTCGCTCTCGTGCCCAGCTCAGGTACTGTCTATTGAAAAAGTCCGTAATGATCTCGCCCTTAAGACTCCTCGTGCGCTGATCGTCAGTTGCAGGTGGTAATCCTAATCAGAATTTTATTGTAAACGGCTTGTTGAAGACTTACTGTGTGCAGGGTGCAGTGCTAGATACGGTGGGAGATACACTTGATTTAGGCACTGTCCCTCTGAGACTAGAAAGGGAGACACAAACCACTACTGACAACACAAGGTGGCCTATGGTAAGTGCTGTAATAAAGGTAGAAGCACAGCAGTATAGTATCAAAAATGAGATGAATTCTGATGACAGGGGCTTGAGAAAGTTTTGTAGAAGCTGGTGCCACAGGGCTTGGGAAAAGTAGGTGTTCAGTGAACATTTGTTGGATGAACTGAGGTGGCGTTGGTGCTGGGCCTTGAAGAGTCAGTGTTAGTGCTAAGTGTGGGATGGACCTGGGGCTCTTGCTTACACCTTCCACTTTCCTGTCCCATGACTTCAGCTACCACCCACCTGACTATCTTTAGCTAGTCCTCCCCCTTAACTTCCGCCTTGAGTCTGATATCTACTGGAAATCTTCACTTGGATGTGTTGCAGCATTTCAGACTCAAAATATCTAAAAATTAATTTTCCTTGCCACCCCTAAACCTGCTTTTCTGACAGTGTTCTGCCCATCCAGAAACCTTAAAGCCTTTGCCTCCCCACATCCTACCTATTGAATCCTTTCAGTTCTGCCTCCTAGGTATCTTTCACATTTTCTTAACTCCTTCCATCCCAGCTGTAGTCTAAACCACCGTTTTCCCTTGCCTGGCTAGTCTCTTAAAGGACCTCCCTACCTCTACCGTTGTCCTTCTCCCATTCCATTCTCCTCTCCCCCAGAATTCATTCTTACACTGTAGTTAAAGGAAACTTTTCAAAATGAGGATCCAACCGTGTTCTCAGCTTAAAGTTATTAAGCAGGTATCATTGTTCTTAGGATAAAATCCAAGATTCTTAACATGGTTTACAAAATCTTTCACCATCTACTCTCTATTTACCTCTCCAGACTCAGCTGCCTCTTTTCACTGGCTCCTTCAGCCATAGTGAACTTCTTTCAGCTGCTGAGTTCTCTTGCCTTCAAGGCTTTGCACACATTGTTCCCTCTTATTGGTATGCCATCCCCTCCCTCTTCCCCTGGTATCTTCACTTGCCCTGGTATCTAATCTTTCAGTTCTTACCTTTAAGGTCACCTTCATACCCCCAGACTAGATAAGATTCCTTTGCTATAAAGTCTTATAGCAGCCTGTACTTCCCTTGTCTTAGTATTTGTTATGCTTATAATTACTTGTTTAATAACTGTCTCTCGTCAGATTGGCAGCTTTATAAGTATAATTACCATGCTGGTCTTCTTCACCACTCTTGTCCCAGGCCCCCATCATAGTATGTAGCACATAGTGGCCTCTCAATAAATAGTTGTTGAATTGAAGTCTAAAGCAGAAGCAACGTCAGTCATTAAAAATTTTGAGCACCTATTTTGTGTCAGTCACTGTGCTGGCTCTGGGGATACAGTAGTGAACAAAGGAGACAAGATCCTTGCTTTCATGGAGTTTATAGTCTTGCAGGAGGCATGCCCACCCCAGACTAATGGACTGAAGTTAAGAAGGCAAGTAACTGCTATTGGCAACTCTTCCTGCAGCAACATAGTTGGAATGGGAGAAGAGGAGCATTCTCCCCAAATACAGGATTCTGTTCTCAGAAGAGGAAAGAGTTACTGGGCAGATAGAACAATAGTATCTACCAGAAACTAGATAAGGAGTGTAATTACCCACCTGCTAAAAAAAACCCAACCGAACAAAAAACTTTAAAACTTAAAATCACACAACACTTGGACTTAAGGAGTAAAAGCCAAACCAAAGTCTGGCAAAGTGACTGGCACATTCTAGTCGTAATAAATATTATTGAATAACAATACCTGGTTTTGTCCTTTTTTCCCCTTGGTTTTAAGCAGCTAAAGGAGAACATTGAGCAGTTCTTCACCAAATTTGTGGATGAGGGGAGAGCCACTGTTCGGTTAAAGGAGCCTCCTGTGGATATCTATCTAAGTAAGGTATGGTATTAAAAACATTAATGGTTAGGTTGGCTGGCTGTATTTTCTTTAAAGAAGAGGATATTTGAGCATCCTGATATTCCACATAGCTGCACAGGGCTGGACACCTGCAGGTGTGTTTGAAGAAGCGATGGCAGCCTCCCAGGCATGCTTGTGGGGCTGTAAAGGACAGAGTCAGCCTTGGTATGGATGTCCAGGAGGGGGAGAAAAACGGGGTTTGCTTCTGTGCCCAAGATGGAGCCTTAGGGTGTTCTTAGATTGGAACTCTATTAGGCAAGTAGCAGAGGTCTACATTTTGCCAGCTAAATTACAGGTTGCGAGTCTAAGTTCGGTGTAAGAAAAGAGGATAAAATGGATCTAGTACCATTTTGGGGGGTATTTTATTTACTATAATAATTTTTAAAAATACATGAACCAGGGGCTGGTCCAGTGGCGCAGGTGGTTAAGTGCACGCGCTCTGCTGCGGTGGCCCGGGGTTTGCCGGTTCGCATCCCGGGTGTGCACCCACGCACTGCTTGTCAAGCCATGCTGTGGCAGCGTCCCATATAAAGTGGAGGAAGATGGACACGGATGTTAGCTCAGAGCCAGTCTCCCTCAGCAAAAAGAGGAGGATTAGCATGGATGTTAGCATAGGGCTGATCGCCTCACCAAAAAAAATATATATATGAACCATAAGAATAAAAAAATGTTTTCTTTGCCCTGTCGCCCCTTTTCCTCTTCCCACTCCCCAGAGAGGAGGAGCAGTGTCTTGTTCAATCTTGCACTATCCTAACACCAAGCCAAGTGCTTTGCAAACACTAAAAGTTTACTAACCATTCAAGCTATTTGTTTTTTTTTTTTTTTAATTTTTTTTTTTTATTTTTATTTTATTTTTTCCCCCGAAGCCCCAGTAGATAGTTGTATGTCATAGTCACACTTCCTTCTAGTTGCTGTATGTGGGACATGGCCTCAGCATGGCTGGAGAAGTGGTGTGTCGGTGCGCGCCCGGGATCCGAACCCCGGCCGCCAGCAGCGGAGTGCGCACACTTAACCGCTAAGCCACGGGGCCAGCCCCCATTCAAGCTGTTTGTATTGGATGGAATCCTTTTGTCCTAGCTCCTCCTGTGCTTGTGGTTTTTCATTTGCTCTTGATATTCAGCCTGTCCTTCCACTAACTCCTTCCTTCCCCCTAAAAACAAACTGAGCTCTTACCAGTTAAAAAATAGAAAAGACACATTTCTGGAAAGACAAAATTGCCTCCACTTTCTTACTATCTCTTTTGACTTTTATTCAAAACACTGCTTCAAAGATTAGTCATCTCCTTTTTATTTGCCGATCACATTGCTGTTATTTTTCATCCTTTTTGAGTGCTCTAGACTTGGACACTGATGACCACTCCCTTCTTAATAAAACTTTCCTTTCTTGGCATCTGTGACAGGGCACTATCCTGGCTTACCTTTGGTTTTCTCAGCCACTCCTTTGTCTCCTATCTCGGGCAACCTTTTTTTCTATCCCCCAAACAAAGGCTTTATTCCAGTCCTCTGCCTGTTTTCTACCATGTCTGCCTCCCATTCTCATAGCTTAACCTTTATTGTGTATAACTCCCAAGTCTGTAAGTCAGTACCCTCTACTGGACCTACTGGACCCAGGTCTCCAGACTGTCCTCACTCCACTTACTGTGTACACTGCTGCCAAAATAATATTTAGCTCTTGTCATGTTATTCTCTTGCTCAGAATGATTGCCCACAGCCTGATCATTCTGTCCTCCTTACCTTGACATCAAGCTCGTCTATCATCAATCCCCATACTTCTTTCTAACCTTTTACTCCTCTACAAAGCTCCCTTATTCCAGCCAAATACGACCCCATACTTAGTTTCCCAAACTTGCTGAAAGTTCACTAGTCCTTCACAGTAAACTTTAGCAAACTTCTAAGGTATCCTGCAAGTATGTTATTTTTATTGATGACTTAATTCGCATACTACTTTATTAGTGATTTCTCTTTCCACGTGGAAGCAATCTCTCTTGCTTTGGATATTTTCTAGCACTTTTGACAGGGCCATTGCTTTCCACAATTCCTAGTCTTTGTGAATTGCACCCCTGGGCATTTTGCACTGCACGGCGCTATCTCAGCCTATCACAGCAGCCTGGAGATTTGAGTCCATTCATCTTAAACCCAAATCTCTTTTTTTTTTTTTTTTTTTTAATTTTTTGTTTATTGCAGTAACATTGGTTTATAACATTGTAAAAGTTTCAGGTGTACATCATTGTACTTCTATTTCTGCATAGAGCTTTTTTTTTTTTTTTGTGAGTAAGATCATGCCTGAGCTAACATCTGCCAATCCTCCTCTTTTTGCTGAGGAAGACTGGCCCTGGGCTAACATCCATGCCCATCTTCCTCCACTTTATATGGGACGCCACCACAGCATGGCTTGACAAGCAGCGTGTCGGTGCGTGCCCGGGATCCGAACTGGCGAACCCCGGGCTGCTGCAGCAGAGCGCACACTCTTAACCGTTTGTGCCTCCGGGCCGGCCCCTTAAACCCAAATCTTAAGTGGAATCTTTTCATGCTTTCCTGGCTGATTTTATACTCTTATGGTTCCCCTTTTGAACAGTTTTATTTAGAGTGTGTCTCTCAACATAATTTTTTCAAACACTTTTAAAGTTTCTTGTATCTGGATTGAAATTTAGTCAAAATACTAAAAAATTTATTTTTTACAGCTGTTTTCAATAAATGATTGCATAATTTGCATATATAACTCTTTACAGAATTTATTATAGGATGAATTATCATGCATGCATTATCTAAAATGGAATTTATAATTGTACAACTTATTTTTATTTATTCAGGCCAATTCCAGCAGTTTAAAGGGTTTCCTTTCAGCTGTGAGACTGGCTCATAGAGGCTGTAATGTTGAGGCATCTCTTTCAACCCTCACACCTGTGAAGACTTCAGAATTTGAAAAATTTAAAACAAAAATGGTTATCACATCCAAAAAGGACTATCCTCTAAGCAAAAACTTCCCATATTCTCTGGAACATCTTCAGACTTCTTATTGTGGGCTTGTCCGAGTTGATATGCGTATGCTTTGCTTAAAAAACCTGAGGAAATTAGACTTGAGTCACAACCATATAAAAAAGCTTCCAGCTACAATTGGAGACCTCATCCACCTTCAAGAACTTAACCTGAATGACAATCACTTGGAGTCATTTAGTGTAGCCTTGTGTCAGTCTACACTCCAGAAGTCACTTCGGAGGTTGGATCTCAGCAAGAACAAAATTAAGGCACTCCCTGTGCAGTTTTGCCAACTCCGAGAACTTACAGATTTGAAACTTGATGATAATGAATTGATTCGATTTCCTTTCAAGATAGGACAACTGACAAACCTGCGTTTTTTGTCAGCAGCTCGAAATAAGCTTCCATTTTTGCCTAGTGAATTTAAAAATTTATCCCTTGAGTACCTTGATCTTTTTGGAAATACTTTTGAACAACCAGAAGTCCTTCCAGTTATAATGCTGCAGACGCCGTTAACTTTATTGGAATCTTCTGCACGGACCGTATTATATAATAGGTAAGACTTTATAGTTATAAAATATGGTACTTTTGATAGCATCGTAGTATTCTTATCATCCTCAGGGTTATAGTCAGAGTCTTTAACATAGCTTACGATGCTGTGCACAATCTGACCCCTGATACATGGCCTTCTTGCTGCTCCTTACCTCTACTTGGAATGCTTTTCCTCCAGAAAGTCTCAGAGCTCCCTTTCTCACTTCGTTAGTTTTCTGTCCAAGTGGCACCCCAGAGAGGCCTTTCCTGACCACCCTATGTAAAGTTTTATCTCCTACCCCCTTACATTGCTTAATGTTTTAGTCATAGGGTTTATTACCTGGCATTATATATTTTTTTACATTTGTTTGTTTTCTGTCAGTTTTCGCCGCTAGGAGGTAAGATCCATGAGGAGATGGATGTGGTCTTATTCTCCACTGTTCCCCTAAGGTCTAAAATGTGATATCCCCTGTTCCTGCCATATTTTAGGCACTTAATAAATACTTGAATGAGTGAATGGCATTATTCTCAAAGTGTAGTCCCCTGGCCAACAGCAGCAGCATTGCCTAGGAACTTGTTAGAGATGCACGTTGTTGAACCTTACCCCAGACCTGCTGAATCAGAACCTCTGAGGGTGAGGTCCAGTTGTCTGTGTTAAGAAGTCCTCCAGGGAGTTCCAGTGCACTCTCAAGTGTGCGACTCCAATCTGGCACAGTGGCAAAGTGTGGTCTTTGCAGTCAGGCTTGGGTTTGATTCCTGGCTTCACTCCACGGTCTGGCTTTAGCAAGTTGTTTAACCTCTTTGATTCAGTTTTCTCATCTGTGAACCAAAAACAGTAGTGCCCACTTGACAGAGTTGTGAGGATAAATGAGCTAATGTAATGCCAGTGCATTTGGCACATAGTGGGGCTCAGTAGCTGTTGCTTCTCTTCCCCTTGTCTTTGAACACTAACTGCACTTGGTTTCATGAGACACCGAACTCCAGTTATTCATTTCGTTCATGCTTCTTTCACATAGGTGTGGAAGCTAAGATGTAGACTAAATTATTGTTGAGTGCCTATAAAATGGTAGGAAGACCATATTTCAAAGAAGAGGTTCTTAACTATTTTAGTGGGGAAGAGGCGCAAAAAAAAAAAAAAAGAGGGGACTGGCCTGGTGGCATAGTGGTTGAGTTCACGCACTCGGCTTCAGCGGCCGGGGGTTCATGGGTTTGAATCCCCAGCGTGGACCTAGGCACTGCTTATCAAGCCATGCTGTGGCCGGTGTCCCACATAGAGGAAGATGGGCACAAATGTTAGCTCAGGGCTAATCTTCCTCAGCAAAAAGAGAAGGATTGGCAACAGATGTTAGCTTGGGGCTAATCTTCCTCACCAAAAAAAAGGAAGTTATGGGCCTAGGAAAATGCACAGATGAGTACACACACACAGTTTTGCATACAACTTTATAATCTTTGTGGACCCCACTGAAACCCAATTTAATTCTCCCTCCTTGCCATCCTTTGCTTGAGAGCTCTTATTCTAAAGCAGTGGTTCTCAAACTTTACTTCACATTTAGAAGCACTTGAGGAGCTTTTAAAACTTCTGATGATTAGTCCCCACCCCAGACTTAGTAAATCAGAATGTCTGAGAGCAGGACCAGTGTTTGTTTGTTTTTTTTTTTAATAATTTTATTTATTCATTTATTTTTTCCCCCAAAGCCCCAGTAGATAGTTGTATGTCATAGCTGCACATCCTTCTAGTTGCTGTATGTGG